CTGCTGTGTTCCTGAAATCTCTGCAAATGACCAGCAGTGACTCTGCCCCAGTACAGCAAGGGTGATCAAGAGGATGACCCCTTTCCATATAGCCTCAAAGTACCAAAACTGGGGTTTGAACTCAGGTTCGCATGACCCCAAATGGAAATTTTCTTCTTCATCATTGACAATCTGATAGGAGAAAAAACAACTTTGTTTTAATTTGCATTTAATTATTGTTGTTCAGCACCTTTCATGTTAACCGGCCATTTGCATGTCTATTGTCAATTGTTAGCTGGTTTTTGGCCCCATTTTTCTATTTTTTTCCTCTTTATTGATTTGTAAGAGTTTTATGTACATAGCGATAATTCCCTATTATATGTAACAAATGTTATATTGAGCCATATTCTATTCTAATGTCTGCTGTTTGTTTGTTTTTTAACATGCTTCTTTGGTCTGTCTGGTATTCATTTTCGTATGAGAAGTGTGGACATGGATCCATTTCCCCCAGTGGCCTGACATTTATTCCAACAATATTTATTAAAGGTCCAATTTTTCTCCACTGAACTGAAATATAACCCTATTATAATACTTAAAAATTCAGTCTTGGGCTTCCCTGGTGGCACAGTGGTTGAGAGTCTGCCTGCCGATGCAGGGGACGCGGGTTCGTGCCCCGGTCTGGGAGGATCCCACATACCGCAGAGCAGCTGGACCCGTGAGCCATGGCCGCTGAGCCTGCGCGTCCGGAGCCTGTGCTCCGCAACGGGAGAGGCCACTTCAGTCGTATTTGCTTCAGCTTCCTCCACAATTGTTACATTGGACAATGGAGGGGAATTCATCAAAGGCTCGACTGTAAAGGCTGAAATGGGTCCACCTCACTCACAGATAGACTGAGTGCCAGGATCTGGCACAGAGGTGCCCTCGCAGGATGTCTGTAGAAGGAAGGAACGAGTGAGCAAGAGAATGAGTAAATACAAACCTCAGAGAAGCTGCAGTGTAATGTTGGAAGTTCTAACCTGCTTCAAAGGAGTGAAGACATTAAGAATGCGCGACCCCAGTGTCACGGCTATGCATTCAAACATGCACGATATGCACCCCACATTGCTAAGATTCCCTTTGTCACCCCCGATATTAAGATAAAATATGGTACTATTTGTCTCAAATTTGTACATTTAAATTATTTCAATGATCTGAGTATTTTTATTATAATTTTAAAGGCCCATTTCCGTGGCCCCTGACAAAAGGGGTGTTCCTCTTCAGGTACTTTCCCAAAACCACTATTCAGCAGGGGATCATTATTGAAAACACCTTAGCGTGTAGCGCTCCGTTCTGGCTTGCCAGAATTTCCACTTACCGAGCCACAGGTCGTGGAAACTCATCTCTCAGCTCCAGCTGACAGGCACTCTGCAAAGCAGAGGAAACGTGAGCGTCCGGGAGCCGTGCCTGCTTTCTCTGGCCAGCAGGTTCTTCCTTTTCACAGCCTGGGCATCAGCTGGGCCCCAAGCCCTCTGCCTAGGTCTCCCCTCCGCTGGAGCATCCAGAAAGCTGTCCTCTACGCGAACAAGGGCGCCCACTGAGCTGCAAAGACTGTAAGAGCCCGATTTCCAGAGCTTGTCCTCATTTCAAATAGCCTGTTCTATTGTCAAACTATGTCCAGCCCTGGGGCAGTTAACTGGCCCCAGTCTGGGGCCTGAGGGCCCAGGCTTCTGACTCTGTGAAGGGATGGCTGGTGAGGAGCCCCCAGAAACCTCATTTTCCTGCACCATGGTGCCACTGGACATGCTGAAGTTAAACACAACACTTCGCCGTTTCAGGGCAGTCTCCCCAGGTTTCCTCGCTGCTCCCAGCAATGGCTGGAGTCAGGAAGGCTCCGTGTCAGCACGAGGTCCATCCGCAAAGCTGCAGTCCTGGCCTCGGCTGTGGAGGCTGAGACTCTAGGGGAGGAACAAGCTGACGGTCCTTCCTCCCCCCGCAGGTGGTGATCGAGTCCGACCTCTACGCGTCCCGGCCCCTGGAGCTGCTGCAGCACCGCAGCGACCACCGCGACGGCGAGGCCCGCAGGTCGAGCTGCTTCCAGAACGCACGGCCGCAGGGCGCCCACCCCGCCAAGACCCCCGCCAGGCCTGGTACGTGCGTCACGGCCCGGGTCCCCGGAACCTCCCTGGGGGGCAGTGGTCCACTTAGAGCAGCTGCCACGGTGTCCGCGAACTGGCTTGTGTGGGCTCCAGCCACGTCGCGATCCTCCCTGGCGTCCTCCATCGCGCCCGGTGGGCGGAGCACCTGCACGTGGGGCCGCCGCCTTCCCCAGTGCATGCCGGTCCTGCTCTGAATGCACCTGCTCGGGGGCCCCCCCCACCCCCCACCCACTGCAGCACCACAAAACTCCTTCTACCTTAAAACACTCGCTGCTGGGTCTGCGTGATGAGCAAAGATGCTCCCATCTACCGCCTAGCTCCACAGGCAGTCCTGCGGGATTCAGGAGGAGGTAAACATCATTAGACGCTGGGGGGAGAGGAAACCAGTGTACACGTGACTCATGAAGCGAAGGAAGCTAACATTATTTTACAGGGCGTGTGTGTGTGTGTGTGTGTGTGTGTGTGTGTGTGTAATTATACAGGCTCTTCATCACTGCCACCTTAAAATCCCACCATTTTAAATTTGAACGCCTTAAACTATTTCAACAATTTATAAAAAGAATTTAGAGACAAATTTGTTTTGAAAGCTGGAAGCATTAGAGTCTTACCTTCCACACTATTTTGAAAAATGGCTCCCACCCCAAGCAGTTCAACAGGAATCTGTGTCTAGCCTGCTGAAGTCTGTGATCATATTTAGCCTTTAATTCCTGGTTTAGGTTATTTGTTAGGCCCACAGCCTCAAGTTATTCCTATTTTTAACTCCAGAAATACACAAAAAGTCTTGGACATCCTTTTCAAAGCTGTTGGGTGTCAACAGTTTTGTATGTTAGAAGAACTGAAAGTAGACTCCATTGAGTGTCTCTCTTTATCCATCCATCTCCTCTCTTTCCTCCCTCATAGATGTTAGACTGGATCTCTAAGGTTTCTTTGGTCACTAACACCCTGATCCTGTTTTTAAGATCCTACGTGTAAGAACCCATAAGTCAAGCTATATTCTCTAGTTAAGGGATTACATATATACATTTTTATGGAGAGTGAAAGCCTTAGGGAAACCACAATGTGCCTTGCAAATTGAGTAGATAATTTTTTTTCCTCTGTCTATATATAAGTGGGTGGGTGGGTGGTGGTTGCCTGTGCATAGAAAGAAAAAGAATATCTTCTCTACAAAATCACAAAATGAATTTAGAGCCATGTTTCTCAAATTTTAATGTGCAGAAGAATCACCTGGGAATCTCGTTTTTATGCAGAGTCTAATTCAGTAGGACCAAGCAGGGCCCCAGATTTTGTTTCTAATAATCTTCCAGATGATGCTGGTGATGTTGGTCCAAGGACAACATACTGATTAGCAAGGATTTGGGGAAGATCTAATGGGTGGTTCTCCAAGTGGCATCCCTGGAGCAGCAGAACCACCTGGGAACTTGCTGGAAATGCAAATTTGGAATACCACCCAAGACCTATTTAATCAAATTCTGGGGTAGGGCCCAGCAATCTGTTTTAACAAGCCTGCTCCCAGGGTGACTTTCCACCTCCCTGAAGGTGGAGGCCCACTGATCTTTGCAAGCACCCCCTGCCGATCTACAGAAGAGGAAACCGAAACCATGGAAACTGACTTACCCAAGGTGCACTGCTCATCAGCAGCAGAACTGAGATTAAATCTCATGTCTCCTGATTTGCTAGCTAATTGCGTCTTTCCCCCAGAAAATAATGTCTTTCCAGCTGTCTGGTTTTAGGGGCTACTTTCCTCCCTAAGTAGCTTGTGGAAGCTTGGACTGAAGGGGAGAACAGCAAGTTATGAAATGGAGAGACTCTGCCCAACATATGACAGTCAGCTCATGCAGGGAATGTGCTAGTCAGGTTTTTAAAAAAAAGAAAAAAAAGATTGAGCTGGGCTTCGATTCAGTTCCTTCAGCTCCCACAGTCTGACAGATTCCAGAGGGAAGGAGAGGGAGGGTTTCTGAGTCAAAGCCAGACCCACAGGAAAGGCTGGGCACCGGCCTTGGGCACAAGTTTTCCATCCTCCCGTCAGAAGGATATGTGTCTCCAGGGATCTCAAATCTGGAGACGTGTTTCTTTTCTGAGCCAAAGGAGAAGGCTCCTGGGTGCTGTAGCCTTCTCACGTAGGAGAAATATGCTCTGAGGAACCTTGGAAAGAGGGGAGACTCTGAAGCCTTGAGCCGGTGAAC